GAGGACCCCCACCGGATCCGGAATTTTTAAGAACATTAAGCCAGCTCGAGTGGCCCACCTTTGATGTCGGATGGCCCTCGGAGGGGACCTTTGACTTGCCCACCCTCTTTGCTGTTCGAGCCACAGTATACAGGGTTCCCCATCCAGATCAGTTCCTGTGTATAGATGTCTGGGTCGACATTGCCACCGAGCGGCCCCGGTACATCGAGAAGTGTCAGGGTGGAAATCAGGGAGGGAGGCGGGCGGTGTGCCTAGCATCAGCAGGGAATAAGGCGAAGGGGAGGGGAACTGAGACCCCGGTCACCGCATCAGGCGGGCCCCCGGGGTGGTCGAGACTGTACCCCGTCTTACCAGGACCGCCAGAGGACCATTTAGGCCCTGTGAATGCACCCCCACCTTATCCCCGGAAGGAGGAGCCTGATTCTTCCTTGCAGGATACAGGCGGATTTTCCAGCCCGCCACACACGCGAGGGGGAGCCTGCTACGGAGCGGGCGCGGGAGGCGCCACCATCTTGCCTCGTCCAGCGGGAGGCGCCGCCGTCTTCTGTTTGGAGCTCCGTCTGGTCCAAAAGGACTTCTGTTCTGGTCCCGAAAGGGCGTCTGTTTGGAGCTCCGTGGAGTGCTGTCAGGTAATATGGGGGCGGGGAACCCTCTGTTCCAAAAAACAGCCTGCTGGGGTGGGTTCTGGTAAATTGATCGACATATGAGTGTATATCGGAGGCGTATGTTGTTTCGTTGTAGTACTGTTCTGTTTGTGTCCTGTATAATTTAGACTCAGGAGAGTGCTGGTCACGGAATGGGTCTTTAAATTACTGTATTCTACTGTAACTAAAGTTGTTTTGTCAAAATCAGGGAAGTGGGACAAATTGCCTCACCTAGAAGTTTTTGGGTTTACATGATAAAAGATGCATGCATAGTTAAAAAGGAAAAAAGAGAGGAAAGTGAGTTAATGGCTCAGAGAAAAGAGAATTTACATATGAAAGATAGAAGGTCAGAGGAGAGGGGCCTGGAAGATCTAGGCATTAAGACTGCTGCAGGCTGGTCAGAGTTCCTGCGGCCCAGGGCATCCACTCCTGTGAGTGAAATGGGAAAAGTGCGCCTGAACTGGCATCGCTATCTTGAATCGGTCAAGAAACCAGATTCGATGGAGGAAAAGCCCCCACCGGGGCAGGGCACTATCCTTTTTGGAGACTTTTCAGTGAGAGTAAGGTCAGAAGGCCAGTCTGCCAGATGTTATCTGGCACATACTCTGTTTCCTACAGTGGACCTGTGAAACTGGAAAAGCTCAAACCCTTCTTATGGACATAACCCTGCTAAAATGACTGATTTGATCGTGCCAGTTTTTGCCATTTATCATCTCAATTGGCCAGACATAGAAGCCTTATTGAATTCTTTGCTTCAGTAAGGGGGGTGAGCAGAGGCTGGTGTTGGATAAGGCAAATGAAGAGGCTCGGAGGTTATGCGAAGAAAATCCAGATGGGGCTCTGGGCCTTCCCAGGGCAATACCTGTAAATGAGCCCAGCTGGGACCCTTAAGGAGATGGCCTTTCTCTCTTAGAGCATTATAAGAGATGCCTCCCTGAGGGAGTGGGGAAAGGCATCCCTGAGCGGAAAAGTCTGGGTATGGTGCAGGCCGTGCAGCAAAAGTCCACAGAGGACCCCTCCCAACACCAGGAAACAGTTAAGGAGATTCCTGGGGATGGCAAGTGACTGCTGCATTTGAGTTCCAAGCTTTCGGCCCACTGCTAACCCACTGTGTGAAGCTCTGAAAGGACCAGAATATAGCCCTTTAGAATGGGCAAAGGGGCGCACTCAGGCTTTTGAGTCCCTGAAAGTGCACGTGGCTTCAGCACCAGCCTTGGGGCTTTCAAACCTACTGAAGCCCTTTCAATGGTATGTGTGTGAGAAACAGGGCATTGCCCTAGAATTCCTCACCCAAATGCTTAGTGACATTTGCAATCCATCGCATAATTGTCAAGGAAATTAAATCACACTGTCCAGGGGTGGCCAGCCTGCTTGAGAGTGGCAGCCACCTGCGAGCTCTTGGGGAAAGCTGAAAAAGTTTGCCTTGGGGACAGGCTGTGCCAGTTATGTGTCGCAGCGAGTGTTGACCCTGCTGGAGCAAAAGGGGAACGAACATGTGGCTGACTGCTGAAAGAATGCGCAGGTACCAAGCTCTTTCTTCTCAACAATCCCAACGTCTCCCTCAAAACTGTAAGTAAAGTAATTCCTGCCTTTTTCTCCCAGACCCCGACTCGGCTGCACTAATACATGACTGTGCTGAAATAACTGATGAAGTGTATTCTAGCAGAGTTGATTGACAGAACCATCCTGTAGAAGAAGCAGACTGGACTCTCTGTGCAGATGGAAGCAGCTATATGGACAAAGGAAGCAGAGGAGCTGGATATGCAGTTGTGACTCTTCAGGGAGTAGTGGAGGCCAAGGCCTTGCTGCCTGCCAGGAACCTCTGCCCAGAAGGCTAAACTGGCTGCATTGACAAGGGTGCTGGAAGTGTCTCATGGGAAGAGAGTGTGTGTATCAACTCAAGAAATCACACAGAAGGTTAGTAAAACCCTAGGAATTAATTGGAGACTCCACACGGCATGGAGACCCCAGGCTTCTGGGAAAGTAGAAAAGATGAACCACACCTTGAAGAAAAATATAGCCAAACTGTCGAGAAGCTCATCTTCATCGGGATCAAGCTTTACTTACTGCCCTGCTCAGGATAAAGGTGGCTCCTCGAAGTGGGATTCAGTGGAGTCCCTATAAAATTGTGTACAGGTAGCCATTTCAGGTCACAATTGGGGTGAAAGATACGTATACAGATAAAAATCTGAAGGTAAGAAAAAAATATGTGCAATATTTAAATCAGACCTTAGCTGTGATGAATAACTTTGCCTGTATTAGGGACTTCTCTCCCATAGGTCCGCTGCATTCGTTCAAATCAGGAGATAAGGTGCTGCTCAAGATTTGGAGGACAGGATCCCCAGAAAACCAACTAGAAGAAAAGTGGACTGGACCTTGGGATATACTCCTCACCACCCCAACTGCAGTGAAGCTGGCAGGAATAAAACCTTGGACTCATCACACCAGCATAAAGGAAGCACAGGAAGAAGATCTGAAAGTCATCTTTGAAAAACAGTGAGTTCTGTTCTCTTCATTGCCTCCTGTTTGACCCCTTGTTATGGACAACTTATTCCATTCAAACAGGATGATAACATCTGGGTATATTTGGCCAAAAATGTCCTGAATATTTCTGACTTTTGTCTTGCAGGAAAAACTTGTGTAAAACAAACTTTCACTTCATGTCTTATAGGCACCTGTGCCCCTTTGGAAAGCTTTAGAAACTATACTATGTTTGAGCATATTGAAAAGAAAATGGCCCACTCTGACATTTATAATTGGGGACCAGTGGTAAATATAAAAGATAGGGAACATGTAATTTTTGTCAACTGCACTAAAAACTGCCTTGTGCTCTCAGCAGGTGTGAGGATGAACTGCACCACCACCACTGATGTATCTTATGCTTATGCCCATGTTAAGCTGCCAATAGGATGGTTCCTGGTATGTGAAATAACAGTTTATTCTTATGTTTCAGCAAACAGCTCTGGGGGACCGTGCTCTCTGGGAAGACTAACAGTGTTTACGCCTCAGAAGCCCCACTTGACCCGGTTCAACGGGATGTCTCCCTTACACCTGATTGTACCCGTGACTTGCACCTTTTAGCTTGCTGAATATGTGTCCGTAATTGTATTTATAATGTCAACCACGGTAACTTATTTAATGTAAAAATGAGCAGATTAGCCTGCACTATGGTAAAAGCCTTAAATGCCACCTCTCAAGCTATTAGTGTCATTAGTCAAGAATTAGGACCGGTCAGAGAAGCAGTACTGGAAAATTGTGCAGCTATAGAATACCTTCTTTTGAGACATAATCACGGATGTGAGGAATTTAAGGGGCTCTGCTGTTTTAACCTAACTGATAGTTCACAGCTTATAGAGCATAAAGTAAAGCAAGTAAACGGCGTGGTGTCCAGTATAAACCAGGGGGAACTAAGCCTAAGGAGATTATCCCAGATGTTTACCGAGGACATCTCTCTCCTTCAAGGTCAGGTAACACATCTCGAGCGTCAAGTGGACTCCCTAGCAGAAGTGGCTCTCCAAAACAGACGAGGACTAGATCTCGTATTCCTCAAGCAGGGAGGACTTGGTGCTGCCTTGGGAGAAGAATGCTGTTTTGATGCCAGTCATTCAGGAGTAATAAGGGAGAATATGGAGACTTTAACCAAAAGACTCAAAGAGAGAGACAGTGAAGAAGAAAACTCCAGCTGGTATGCCTCTATATTTAGTACTTCCCCATGGCTAACCACCCTTTTATCTGCACTTGCAGGACCCCTTCCTTTGCTTCTGCTGTTAGTTACTATAGGGCCCTGCATTCTAAATAAAGTCATAGCCTTCATTAAAGAAAGAAGAGAAGTAGTAAAGCTGATGGTCCTACCTCAACCCTATACCATTATTCCTAATGCTGAAGAGTCAAGGGTTTGACAAACCCCCAAGAGAAAACGGGGGAACGTAAGGAGTGGGGAAACACTTGGACCATGAGAAAATAGGAACCTCGCTAGCTAGAGCCAGGAGGCTGCTAGGTTAATGAACAAACATCCTGCCTTCCCGCCTGTGCAAGAATGCTTGGTTTGAAATTCCCGCGCGCGGTCTTTGTAAGCGAACTGCTAACTGCCACGTCTGCCTCTGTATAACGCCTGCTTGCCCGCCCCTATATGAGGACGTAGTTGTAAGCGCTCGGGGCGACTCTCTCATCTGCAGCCCCTGTGGGTACCGTGTCTCCGGACACTTTGAGAGTTCACCCCTGCGCAGGTTAAACTTGGCCAATAAAGTAACATCCTTGATTCCCTGAAAGTCTCCGACATTTGTTCTCGCGTTTGCTGGATGCAACATCTCTCCGCAGTGTCTTAGGAGCAAACAAAACAGACGCGAGAACCGGAAGTAACAAAGTAACGTGTTTATCCAGCTGCTATTCGTTAAGGCACCTCCTCGCTGAAAGGCTGCAGAGGGGGACAGGGGACTGCACGGGACCTGCGCTGCCGTGAACCAGCCCCACACGGCCAGCGGCCCGTCGGGTCCCAGCGGAGGCCCCCGGCAGCGCTACGACAGGGCCGGGATGAAGTACTGCAGGGCCACGTCCTCGTGCAGCAAGTCGAAGTGGACCATCCTGTGACTCACGATGTCTGGGGGCAGAAGACACTGTTACAGCGAAGCCCCCCACGCCCCCGCCCCCGAATCCCGGACGCCCCTCCCCCAGCTGCCGTCCACTCCGGGAGCACCCGCCCCCGCCCCTACCCCGCACCCCTGCCCCGCCCCCACAGGCTTGGTGGAGGAAGCTGAGGTCAGGCACCGCCTGGGGAAGGGCAAACTCCGCACGGAGGCACCACCGCAGGGGCGTGCCCGGAGGAGAAGCAGCCGCCGAGTGAGATGGCCCGGCGGCCAGGACCCAGGGGTGACCGCACTGCAGCTATGTGGGGCCGTGGAGCGGGGCTGCTTGAAGGACACCCCTGAGGCCGGAGGGAGGCAGGCGGTGGGGCGCACGGCGCAGAGTGCCCTGGCGGAAGAGCCCCCGACCATCCGCCGGCCGGGGGTGTGCCGGAGCCCAGGCCACAGCCTCCCGGGAGTCCCCACAGGCAGCCCCTGGTGACCCCTCCTCCCCACCCCTCCTGCGCCGTCACCCACAGGGCCTTCCCACTGCACCCAGCCGACTGCCTCCTGCGGTCTCTCCGCCAGACTCCCGTTTTGAAGACGTCTGGAACGTTCCATCCCTTCTCTACCCAGTGGGGACCACTAGGCATGCCCCGGGCCCTCCTCCCTCCCCGCTCTGCCCCCTGGGGGCTTGGTGCCAGGGGCTGTGAGCGCGGCAGCGAGGAGACAAGCCAGCCCCTCGTGAGTGTGGCCGGTGTGCACCTGTGCCAGACGGGCGTGCAGCCCAGGGAGCCAGGCTGGCCTGCGACACGGGACGCAGACTGCAGACGTGGGACGGCTGCGGGAGCAGGGCGGGCTGGGGTGCAGGGGGAACGGGGGTGTGGCGGCGGATCCTGAATCCACACCAGACGGGGTCAGGGCTCCGCGGACGGCAGGTCAGGCTGCCAGGACGGGCACGGACCACACTCGAGGCCCAGCAGAGCGAGACACGCAGCGCGGGGGAGGCCGCGGCCGAGTCAGGGGCCGACGTGGGGGAAGGCGCCCGGGCGCACTCACTGCAGACGGCCTTGGTCGGGTTCGCCTGCTGCCCAGCCAGGAACTGCAGGAACTTCCTGATGTCCACATGCACCTCCGCCATCTGCTCGGGGTCTCCGTCCTGAGTGGCGGCTTCTGGGGCTGAAAGGACAGGAGCACCTGCGGGTGTGCCGGGGCCCCGGGGACGGCACGCGGCTGTGCTGAAACGGAGGGGCCCGGCAGCCCGGCGCCGGCGTCTGGAGAGACACCACGAGGTGGAGGCGTCGCTGCACCTCACACAGGAGCCCTGCAGGTCCTGACTCTAAAATGCTGTGTCGGCGTCCAGGACCTCGTGCTCCTCGGGGACCTGACACGCGGCCCAAGCGCCCCCTGCAGGTCCCAGAGGGCGGAGTCCCCTAGGCCCTCCGGTGCAGCCAGGGCAGGGCCTGGGACTCGGAGGGAGGGAGGGAGGACGCCCCCTCAGCCCGGGACAGGCACCAGGTAAGACCCTGCCCGCTGTTCGTCAACACGACGAGACGAGAGAGGCCGGAGCGAGCCCCTCCCTCGGCTCTCACCCAGGCCGGGCCCCCGCACCCCCACCCCACGGTGCGGCCCGCACCCCGCAGCAGCCCTGTGGTGGGCCGGGTTGGCCCTGAAGGTGGCAGGGCTCTGTCCGGGGCACGTGCGTGACTGGAGGGGTTTCCACGGCACCAGCGGTCACCTTCCCCAGGCCTGGCCGGCTGCTCCCTGCCCACCCTGCCCTCCCCACCCATCCGTCAGCCCCTGTCCGCTCACGGCACCGATTCCGTGGCCCCTCATCACCTTGGGCGAGACAGACAATCTGACTCGTGAGAAAAGCCCCATTTGCTAACCTGATTTCCTCAGTGTTACAGGGACTCAGGTAGGAGAAATAAGAAATGTCCTCTATCTTTCCGACCTCACCCCAGGTGGGAACTTGCCAACTTTCATGGCAGACACAGGGGTTTCAGAACCGGCAGGGCCCCCCGTTTCCAGACCCGAGCCCCCCTCAGCCCCAGCGCAGACACAGCCCCTCCGCCAGGGGCCCTCCGGCCCACACCTCCATCCGCCGCAGGGGTGGGCGAGCCCACCTGTCGCCCGCTCCCTCCCCAGGCACACGGCAGGCACCGCGGGCACACGGCAGGCACGGCAGGCACACGGCAGGCACCGCGGGCACACGGCAGGCACACGGCAGGCACACGGCAGGCACACGGCAGGCACGGCGGTGCCACCTCTTCCCGGCTGGGGGCCTCCGTAAGGTGTGAAACAACCAACTTTTCAGAAGCAAAACCCAACCCGCCGGAAACTTACCTAACGGAGGATTTCCAAGATCCTTAAAATGAGTTGTAACACACACTAATTCAGATTCTATTTTCAAGTTCAAATCTCCACTCAGGTTCGCTTCGATGATCTGCAGAGAGGGTATCTCACAGTCTTCAGAGAGGCATCAGCCCCTGCCAGGCATCAGCCCCCACCACAGCAGGCGACGGGTCACCACCCCACAAGCCCCAGGCCCCCCTGCACGGCACCAGAGACAGAGGACACAGACGAGAGCCAGGACTCGGGGAGCCCCCAGGAGAGGGGCCTCCAGAGGGGAGAGCTGGGCAGGGACGCCTGGAGGCAGGCGGAAGCGGCTGGCCGGTGGGGGGCCTGGCCCCCTCACAGCAGAAGGGGCGACGGGGCGGGAGCCCGGGGAGGAGGACGGCAGCCTGGGCCCCGGGGGGAGGGACCGAGGCTCAGGGCTCAGCCCTCCCTGGGCAGTGGCCACAGACCCTCACTCCCTCGAGCAGGAAGAACGGGCCCCCGGGGCCTCTGGGGCACGGCCCTGCCCTGCTCTCCTGGGCTGCGAAGCTCTGCAGCCCCCAGGTGTCCCCGGGGGGGGCCTCCAGCCTGACAACAGCTGGCATCACGGCAGCCACGGGAGCACCGTGTGGCACGCTCCCACCGAGCCATCGGGAGCCGGCTGCAGGTCAAAGTGAGCTCTGAGGTTAAGCCAGGAAGGGCAGCTACTCTTAGGGGGGCACAGCTGGAGAACAGAATGGCCCCCACACTCCCTCCAGGCTTGGAGAACCTCTGCGGCCCCCGAGAGCTCCGCCAGTGGCGCTCTGCCCCAGGCCCTCACCAGTGCGAGGATGGGGAGCCAGGGCGGTACGCACTACCGGCACCTGTGAGTGCGGCCGCGGGGCACGCGGGTAGGTGCGGCAGCTCCCCCCCGGGGGGCGCCGGAGGGCCCCCCCCCCCCCCACAGCCTGAAGCGGGCCCTCAGAGCTCTGTCTGAAGAGGCGCTGACTCACCAGGTGATGGCTGATGTTTCTCATCTTCTCCACCACGCTCTTCATGGTCTTCAGGACCGGCAAGTAAATGCTGACCTGCAGGCCCAGGGCAAGACCCGGAGTGTGACTCGGCCGGCGCCCACGGGGTGCGCTCACTCCGGGGCTGGCCGTGGGCCGGGGGCCGGGGTTTGCACGTCCGACGGAGGCTCTCCTTAGAGCGCGGAGAGAAGGGACGGCAGTGAGACGGCCGCGCTCCCTCTCACCTGCCCCTGGTCAGCGCAGCGACCAGGCGCCGGGGGCACCGCAGGGCTCCGGGACAGCCCAGCCGGCCCCGCGGCCCGAGGCCCTCCATGCACGCAGGGGAACGTGTCCCTGAGGGACGCACCCGACGCCCAGGCCGTTCTGCCTGGGAGGCGGCTCCAGGGAGTCCCTGCGCCCCTCGCGCCGGCGCCGGACGGGGCTCCCTCTGGCGCGCGACACGCTGCTGCTTCCCGGGCGTGCCATTGGCCGGCCCGGGGAACCCGCCCCATGTCCGCCATGGCCCCTGCACCGAGCTGGGGCCGGGAGGCAAGGGGCCCGCAGGCGCCCGAAGCAGCTGCCCCCCACCCAGACGCGCTCCTCGCGCGGCGGGGAGCCGTCACCTTCTGGACCCCACAGCGGTGCCCGCGGCCCCCACGGCCGGCAGAGACGCGGTCCCGCGAGGCCTTCCTCGCGTGGTTCCGTGTCAGTGCGAGTGCCGGGCGGGCGGGCGGGGCGTCCCCGCCCCCGCGACCTTGCTCAGGGTCCGTGTGGAGACTGCCGGGGGCTCACTGCCCCGTCTGTCCCGGAGCTCCCTTCCCGACCGCGCCCCCGTCCGACCACACACACTGCAGAGGCCGTCGCTGGGATCGGGGTTCCGCCACGCCAGGTCGGAGCCCGGGGACGCGGGCGCCACTCACATCAGAGTTGGGCACTGTCGGCTCCTGCAAGTTCTTCCACAGCTTCCTGGGAATGACCTTGACGGGGATGTCGTGGGTCACCGTGCGGCTGCTGTTCGACGCGGACGACTGCCAAGAGGGGAGCCCAGAGACACTGCTGCTCGCCTCTCGCCGGGACGCCCCCCGTGGCCCCTGGCCCCGCGGCCCCCAGCTGCCCGCCACGCACCAGCTCCACCGACACCGTCAGGCAGGGGAAGTGCTTGTTCGTGAGCTTGACTTTGAGCGAGCGGGCGTTCTGGGCCGTTTTCAGGGCGCGGAACAGGTTCTCCGACGTGAGCTCCACGCAGATCTCGTTGCTCTCCTCGGAGACCCCCTCCATCTGGAACTCGCTGAAGAAGTTCTCCTGGGGGAGGCCACAGGGTCACCACGGGGCAGCCGCGCCCCCTGCAGCCGGCAGCGCGGCCCGCGGGGGGGCCCCTCACCTGCGGCAGCTCGCACCACATGCTGACCCCGCCGCCGGCCGCCGTGTCCGCCAGGATGAAGTTGAGCTTCTGCGGGCGGATGCGCAGGGTGCAGGCTCGCGCCAGCTTGGCCACCATGCAGCTGACGCCTGCGGTGGCGGGGGGGGGGGTGCGGGGTCACCGCACAGGATAGCGGCGTCCACGGGGCCCACACCGGGGGCCCCGGGGTCCGGCCGGCCTCCCAGCCCCCGGCCGCAGGAGCTCTGGGTGCGGACACTGAAGCGGAGCGAGCCTTCTCTCACCCCGGGCCGGCCCCGGGAAGGCCTACACCCAGAAAACCACCTCGGCCGGGTTGGGAGAGCGACTGGACCGGAATCGGGCGTTTGTCACCGTCCTGGGCACCCGCACCACTGCACTCGGTCCCTGTCCCCCGGCCCTCAGTTCCCGTCCCTGTCCCATTCCTCCTGGTCCCCATCCCACTGTCCTTGGTCCCTGTCCCTGTCCCACTGCCCTCGGTCCCCATCCCACTGCCTTGGGTTCCCGTCCCTGTCCCAATGTCCTAGGTTCCCATCCCACTGCCTTGGGTCCCCGTCCCTGTCCCGTTGCCCTCGGTCCCCATCCCACTGCCCTGCGTCCCTGTCCCTGTCCCACTGCCCCTGATCCCCATCCCACTGCCCTGGGTCCCCGTCCCTGTCCCATTGTCTTAGGTTCCCGTCCCACTGCCCTGGGTCCCTATCCCCATCTCAGTGCCCTCAGTCTCTGTCTCACTGCTTTGGATCCCCATCCCATTGCCCTGGGTCCCCGTCTCATTCTCCTTGGTCCCTGTCCCATTGCCCCTGGTCCCTGTCCCATTGCCCTGGGTCCCTGTCTCATTCTCCTTGGTCTCTGTCCCATTGCCCCTGGCCCCTGTCCCATTGCCCCTGGCCCCTGTCCCATTGCCCCTGGTCCCTGTCCCATTGCCCTGGGTCCCTGTCTCATTCTCCTTGGTCTCTGTCCCATTGCCCCTGGTCCCTGTCCCATTGCCCTGGGTCCCTGTCTCATTCTCCTTGGTCTCTGTCCCATTGCCCCTGGTCCCTGTCCCATTGCCCTGGGTCCCTGTCTCATTCTCCTTGGTCTCTGTCCCATTGCCCCTGGTCCCTGTCCCATTGCCCTGGGTCCCTGTCCCATTGCCCCTGGTCCCTGTCCCATTGCCCTGGGTCCCTGTCTCATTCTCCTTGGTCTCTGTCCCATTGCCCCTGGTCCCTGTCCCATTGCCCTGGGTCCCTGTCCCATTGCCCCTGGTCTCTGTCCCATTGCCCTGGGTCCCTGTCTCATTCTCCTTGGTCTCTGTCCCATTGCCCCTGGCCCCTGGCCCATTCTCCTTGGTCTCTGTTCCATTGCCCCTGGTCCCCGTCCCATTGCCCTGGGTCCCCGTCCCGTTGCCCCTGGTCCCTGTCCCACTGCCTTGGGTCCCTGTCTCATTCTCCTTGGTTTCTGTCCCATTGCCCCTGGTCCCTGTCCCATTGCCCTGGGTCCCTGTCTCATTCTCCTTGGTCTCTGTCCCATTGCCCCTGGTCCCTGTCCCATTGCCCTGGGTCCCTGTCCCATTGCCCCTGGTCCCTGTCCCATTGCCCTGGGTCCCTGTCTCATTCTCCTTGGTCTCTGTCCCATTGCCCCTGGTCCCTGTCCCATTGCCCTGGGTCCCCGTCCCATTGCCCTGGGTCCCCGTCCCGTTGCCCCTGGTCCCTGTCCCACTGCCTTGGGTCCCTGTCTCATTCTCCTTGGTTTCTGTCCCATTGCCTCTGGTCCCTGTCCCATTTCCCTGGGTCCCTGTCTCATTCTCCTTGGTCTCTGTCCCATTGCCCCTGGTCCCTGTCCCATTGCCCTGGGTCCCTGTCCCATTGCCCCTGGCCCCTGGCCCATTCTCCTTGGTCTCTGTCCCATTGCCCCTGGTCCCCGTCCCATTGCCCTGGGTCCCTGTCCCGTTGCCCCTGGTCCCTGTCCCACTGCCTTGGGTCCCTGTCTCATTCTCCTTGGTTTCTGTCCCATTGCCTCTGGTCCCTGTCCCATTTCCCTGGGTCCCTGTCTCATTCTCCTTGGTCTCTGTCCCATTGCCCCTGGTCCCTGTCCCATTGCCCTGGGTCCCTGTCCCATTGCCCCTGGCCCCTGGCCCATTCTCCTTGGTCTCTGTCCCATTGCCCCTGGTCCCTGTCCCATTGCCCCTGGCCCCTGTCCCATTCTCCTTGGTCTCTGTCCCATTGCCCCTGGTCCCTGTCCCATTGCCCTGGGTCCCTGTCCCGCTGCCCCTGGTCCCTGTCCCACTGCCTTGGGTCCCTGTCTCATTCTCCTTGGTCTCTGTCCCATTGCCACTGGTCCCTGTCCCATTTCCCTGGGTCCCTGTCTCATTCTCCTTGGTCTCTGTCCCATTGCCCCTGGTCCCTGTCCCATTGCCCTGGGTCCCTGTCCCATTGCCCCTGGCCCCTGGCCCATTCTCCTTGGTCTCTGTCCCATTGCCCCTGGCCCCTGTCCCATTCTCCTTGGGTCCCCTGTCTCATTCTCCTTGGTCCCCGTCCCGTTGCCCCTGGTCCCTGTCCCACTGCCCTCGGTCCCCATCCCGCTGCCCACAGTTCTTGTACCCGTTCCGTTGCCCACCGACCCCTTCCCGCTGCTCACAGTCGCGGTCCGGCTCTCCTGGGTCCCCGTCCCACTGCCCTGGTCTCTGTCCCGCTGCTGTCGGCCCCCGGCCCACTGCCCACGGTGCCCGCGCCCCTCACGTCCGCGCGGCGCCCTCAGGCGCGCCTGTCGCCCCCGCGGGAAGCCGCAGCGCGCCTTCCGCCTCCCGGCCCGCCCCGCTCCGCCCTTCTCCACTGCCCCGTTCCGCCCCTCCCCACTGCCCCGCGCGGCTACGACCCGCTCACGCGTGAAGTGGTTCAGACAGGCCGGGTCCACAATCTTGGCGCGAAACTTCATGGTGGGGCGCGGCGCGCGGCCCCGGCTGGCGGCGGACTGGAGCCCCGCCCCCGCGTCCCGCCGGAAACGGCGCCGCGCGCCCGTTGGTTCCGCCCCCGCCGGCGGCGCCCACCTCGGGGATCGCGGGGTCCTCCACGTCGTCCGGGTGCGGGACGTGGATCTGAGTACTCCCGGCTTGCGAGAACGTCGGGACCCCTGTTTCCAACGCCGTTGGAACGTCAGAAGTAGTCCCAGCCGAGCGCTGATTGGGGATGAAATAAGAGGGTGCGCACGCGCACTCCTCTCTGCCGTGGGGCGGCTTAGGGACCCCCTCGCCGCGGCTGGATCGGATCGGGGGTTTAACGTTGTTTCCGAGTTTTAGAGGGTGGGGAGCGCTGATGTTAAGTGGTAACCCCGCAGTTTTGTCTCATGACGAATTTCACCCGATCCTGTTGAAATTCTCACAGTGTAAATAATGGAAACTAGGTAGACTTCAAAAAACAAAGCGAAAATAGGACAAAAAGGGTATCCGACTTGGTTTTTCAAAGACGACATTATCCATATTAGCAGTGTGATTTTTAACGGTGCTTTGCAAATAGGAGCCTGGCATTTTGTTTTTAACTTGCTGTAGAATCTAGATATAAAAATAACTCAGATTAGTATAAAAGTGCAAAATGTAAAACTACAGTTTTTCCTGTTGTAAGACTAGAACATGAAGCTGAATTCCATTCTGCGCTGTTACAGACAAGTGTTTGCCAAACCAAACACGATACAACATCACATTTAATTTTTTTTGTTAACATGCTTCATTACTCTGTAAATTAATTGTAAAAGTGAGGTAAACTATTAAATGAGGTGGTTGCTATGGAGATCATAAATATGACTTTAAAATGTAACAAGCTTTGTAAGCAGTGTTTCATAATAAACTGACCTTTACTTTAAATCATTTAATTTTATTCCATAAAAAATAAAACTGTTTAAAAACCTCCTGAGACTTGTGTGATTATGCATTCTGTGCAGACAAAAGTCCCAGATAATACAAGAAGTTGACCCAATTGATAAAAAAAAAAAACTGTAATGATCCTTTCTTGAAAGACAAAAGGAATCTTATGCACCCTTTGCAGTTTTTTAAATTTACATTTTAAATTAAATTTAGCCAATTAATGATTCGCTATTTCAGAATTGCTAACATGTTGACACTGCTTCCGCACATTTTTTCAAATGCCCCCGAGTCGAGGGCGGAGACCACCAGGGACGGGCGGGAGCCTGCTCACATGGCTTTGTGAGTAGCCAGTGAACCCCCTTCTGACTTAACACCGGCCAGGCCTCAGGGGTCAGCAGTCCAGCCCCAGGACAACCCGGGGAGCTGTGCCAATGCTCATTATGTTGTTTACCGTGCAGAAGTGCCCTCATCCTGTCCCCTGAAACGGCGGCCAGGATGTGGCGCTGGAAAGAAGGCCCCCCCCCTGCCCCCGCAGCTGCAGAGGCTGGGAGCTGCCCCGGGAAGTGTCTGCGTTTCCTGAGGTCTTGGAGGCGTGCACAGTGTGAGAGGGTCTTCACACGGGTGGTCTCAGTTCTCCTTTTACCTGGTTTTTAAACATGTCGTGACTTTTGTAAGTGAGATCCTCCAGTTGATGGTTGCATGCATTGGTGCTCGATATCGATTTATAAGCGATCACTTTGTGACCACAAACTCATTGTAGGTTTTTCCTCGTTTGTAATACATTTTTAAATTGACTTTATCGCATTCCAAGGAATTCTTCAAATCATCTGCAGGCACTCACGTCTCAGACTTCCTCACCCACGTTAACCTCCCACTGCGCTGGCTTCTCTAACTGCATCGACCGGTGCCTCCTGGTCAGCGTTGGACAGCAGTGGACGCCCACACCCAGCACGAACAGAAACAGCTAACCGGTGCTGCCATGAGAAAGACTGTGGAGTGATACGTCTTGTACTGGACACAGGTTCGTGTCTCAATGCTCCTGCAACACGGGCCACCCTCAAAAGCTAACGTACCACAAGGAGACTGGAACCACACTCACAGTTTTTATTAGTAAAATCCATTCACTTTTTACCGGCACGTACGAACCCGATATTCGGCTCCTACGAGAGCCGTGAGTCTAGGGATGAGAACACGAGCATTCTGGACCCGAGGTCATGACCTGACCGTGGAGCACGGGGGACCCCAGGCCCTCTAGCTGGGGTCCCCCGGGCTGCCGTGGACCCGGAATCTGTATAAACACGTGTACTTCGGGTGTCCCCAGTTGCTGAGGATTTTAAGTTTCACACATAAGAAGGGTTCAGAAACTTCATGCTGGAAATAAAGAAAAGAGACCATGAGTGGCTTCTCGAGAAACCCACGCCAAAGAACCCTAAGGAATGCCGATGCGTGGGGACTCTTTCCCGCCTTCAGAAGCGGAATCGGACCCGCTCTAATGGAGGAGAAGGGCGCCCCCAGAAGGAACGAGGTCCTCAGAGCACACATGCAGGGTGAGGGAGATGACACGGTGGCCTGGGCCCCCACGTGCTCCACGGCCACCGTCACACGCCGCAGGGCTGCCTGTTGGCCGCCGTGGGGTGGGAGGCAGAGACACGGGCAGTCAGTCAAACACGCGTGTCCACAGGCACACTCATTTCTCCCCGTTGGCCAAGCCGAGTCCTGACCCCTCGCTCTCACGGGGTGCGAGATGCCTTCTACCCCCGTCATTTCCCGTGGCCGATGAGCAGCAGTGACGATTCATTTCACACACCTCAGTGACCCTCAGGAGGGTCACACGTGCGACTTGGCAATTCTCCCCAGTGCGTTAGGACGGCAAGTGCGCCTGTCCTATCTGGTGTTGAGTATTTATTCGCTCTGTCTCCGAGCTCCTCTGTGCCTCTAACCACGTCACACGCACCACCCCCCGCCCCCTTATGAGGACGGTGAGACAGTGACTGTGGACCCTAACAGCAGCGAGGGAATCCCACAGGTAAGACGGGGACCGAGGAGGTGGACGCACGGGGTCCGGCACCGACAACGCCCCTTCGTTATGACAGAAGCACGGGCCTGTGATTCTGGAACGTAACTGCATCACACTCCAGCCCACTGCGGGGCATTTTAGGTGAGGTGTTCAAATGGAAACCACAAATTATCACACCCATACTATTACCCGGCCAACCGCACTCAGGCAGGCCTCACTTCTGCTGGATCCCGTGTCTACACGTGTTTTAAAGTGATAGCAAACGTGGAAGAATGAGGCTCAGAAACTGCTTTTGTATTGGCCTGGCTTTTGTCTTAGCACGCAGGCAGGTGCTCAGAGCTAAGAGCGGAGGCTCAGCTTGGCCTCGCCGCCCCCCCACTTCCATCACCACCGTGCAGCAGGCGGCCCCAGCCTAGCCCTCCCGGGCGCGGAGGCGTGTCCGCCCTCGCCGGGGCCCCCCTTACCTGGAGCACGAACGTCTGCACGGCGGGCCTGGTCTTGCTGTACACGAACCGGCCCAGGAAGACCTCCTCTCCGTTACACTGCGCCGCGACGCCCTGCGGAGGACGCCGCGGGTGAGGGGCGGCTTCTCCAGGGGAGTACCTGGAGGCAGGTGTGTGTGTGTGCAGGCAGCAACAGTTCTCCAGGCGTCTTGGGGGCCCACCGGGGGCGCAGTGCTGTGCTAGGTGCCAGCACCCCTCCACGCCCAGCGGTGTCACACTTGGGACCCGCAGCCACGTCGGGGAACGGGCGGGCTGAGCTCCCACGGTCAGCGGTAACCAAAGCTGAGAGTGAGGCCGGCCGTGTAGCCCCCCCCCCCCCGAACATGAGGCCCACGGGCCCAGCACTCCCCTCCCAGGGGTAGGTCCAGGGGCAGTGAGAGCCCCGTCCGCTCTGTGGCTCGTGTGGACACGGCATCTTGGTGCATGTCGGCCAGAAACTCGGGAACAACTCCAGATCCGTCAAATGGTGAACAGATGGATAAAATGTGGTGTGTCACGCAATGACGTATTGTCAACAATTTAAAAAACAAAACAGTGACACGTATTATATAACGTGGACGAACCTTGAAAACACGACGCCAAGTTAAAGAAGCCACCCACAAAAGACCACCATGTGATTCCATTCGCAGGAAGCTTCCAGAAGGCCAGTCTACAGAGACTCGGCGTGTTGGCGGCTGCCTGGGGCTGGGGCACTGGGAGGGGGTGGGGGGTGGCGGCTAACAGGTGCAGGGTTTCTTCGAGGAGTGACAGAATGTGCTGAGACTGACTCAGCGCTGATGGACACGCAGCTCCGTGCGTACACTAAGGGCCACCGAAGTGTTAAATGGGTGGATTACGTCACGGTGTGTGGATTACGTCTCCGTAATAAAGTCGGACCCAAATGTGTTGGAGGATGGGAAAACCGTGGAGGAGAGCTAGTCCCCATTTTTCCACCCGAGAACATCAGTGGATAGGAACCAAAACTGAAAACTTAAGAAAATAATAAAAGTGATATGAAGGCAAGAACCCAAATGATTATTTTCAGCTAAACCTGTGGCAGGCGGAAGCTTCCGGAGAGTCAAAACCAGAGGCCGAAGAGGTGGGCAGGCAGAAACCGTGTTCCACCATCGAAAATGTGTGGGAATGTTCGATGTTTTCACGGTGTGTGTATGACGCTGATTAAAGTAAAATTAGTGGTGGGAATCCTCTGACCCAGCCCTGTCACTTTGCAGATGACAAAGCGGAATCCTGGAAGTCAGTGACGTTCTCACAGTGACACAGATGACGCCCCAGCTCCCAATTCTGGCCAACCACCTCCTCCCATAGTGCACTCTGAACAAGGTTCAGACGGCTTCTTACGTGGACAGAAAACTCCTTGGGGGCGCTGGAGATGCTGCCCGAGGGGGACACCTTCTCGGAGA